AAAAAAAAAAAAAAAAAAACAATCTGAAAGTACAGCAACTGAAAAATCTGACTTAAAATTTACAGCAAAATAATAAAGTAAAAAGAGTTATAATTTGTGGTATACAAAAAAGTAAAAAATAAATAAATAAACAAACTAACCAGAAATATTTACTGATGACAATTTGATTGCACGCACCAGTAGTAGATCTATATCAAACCTGATAGCCTTATTAAACTTCAGTAATTTTAAATAAACAACAAGGGTAACTGAAAACTGCTAAAAAAAGCTTACCGCTCATTAAAACTATATTTCATTCTAAATGAATATAGTGTTATCTGGTTTTTCGATCCTATAAAATTCAATTTATGCCATCCTACCAAACGAGAAAATTTGGAGATATCAAGTAACACTTCAAAATTATTCTTACCCAACCATCTTTTGAAGAACAATTAGAAGAATTGGTACCGAGCATCCATCCGTCTTCTTTTATCATCATCTTCTTCTGAGCATTTCACTGGCAGACAGACGAAGAATTTCTAATGGTAATTTGATAATTCTGCCCAACTTTTTTTTTTTTCAGAAAAAAACTTGAAAATTTTTTATCAAAATTTCATCCATCTTCTTCTTTCAACTCATTCATTGAAAAACCAAACCAGAAAAATGAGCAGTGTCTACAAAAGACATAATAATTTACTATTTCTAATGCTTAACCAGGGTATAAATCCTCTGAGCATGGATAACCAACCGCTAATAGGTAAAGTTAATCGATGCTTAATCGTGTAAACAAATGAGTATGGCTTTAACTATCATCCAAATAAATTTCTACGTTGCATATATATGCTTCAGTTTCCGGTATAAATGTCAAACATCTACTTACATACTACGATTATAGAATTTTTACGATTAAATAATTCAGCTAACTCTGCGCCTTTTTTCAAAAACGCTCAAATGGTTGTTGCCCATATTTACAAGCAGAATTTGATAAGCTTAACTATTCAAAAAAATTTCCGAAGATCACATGACCAAGGCAGTCAGTCAATTCTGCTCGATTAAGTAATATTCTTTTCCAACTTTCAACAGTAGATGTAGTTCAAAATTAAGAAAAAAACTTCAACGACACGTTCACCAACGGCAATAACGTCCCGTCTTTGTTATACGAATTTGGACACAGTTAGAAGAATAGAAAGTGAATAAGAATATTCGTGATAACATAAAAAAAAATTGATTTCTTATTGACCAAAATAAAAAATACACAAAAACACATTAATAATCCAGCAGTTAACGGACAAAAAAAAAAACGTTTGATACTTGTTATTACCGCTTTTTAATTTACCATCAGATATGGAACTGTTGATTTTCTGACGTTCAACTAAGCAGAAAAAATATTTCAAAAAAAAAAAAAAAAAAGATTAATCGAACAACTTATGCCATATTACCAAAATAGTTGCCAGCTATGTGTCTTATAAGAAGATCATGTGACTAAACCGCTACTTACAACTCACACATTTTGCACAGATTTTTGGCACTAATAACTAGATTAACATCAGATTTTGATGGTTAAGTAGGATGCAAAAAAAAAAAAAGATGAAAACACCATCGCAATTACGATTCAAATCAAGAGGCCTAAACATAAGATTTCACAAGGGGGCGAACGAGCCAGACGTTCGCCGTTGACTTCAGTTGTTTTTCCCGACCACTCTCTTTGCACTCATTCCTACAAAAGACATCAAATAATTTCGACTCCCCCAATAACCACCCGGCTGCTTGGCATTCTTCCAGCGCCATCGATCATGTTGACCAAAGATCTTTGTTTTTTCCGAACGAAAGTATTTGTGTACCTCCTCCAGCTGTTTGTGTTTTTATTAGTTGTTGACATTAATATGCGAAAACATCATGCCACTTATTGTTGTTGTTGTTGTTGTTGTTATTTAGTTCACAATGCGTTCAGAAAAAGCACTAGCAACAGCCGCCGAATGGAGAATTGTTTTTTTGACAAGCAAAAAATCATGATTGCTTTTTTTACTTTTTTTTTTTTTTTCTGCCAACTTGCACTTTTATTTTTCCCACTAAACACCACATAGTTGTTGGCAACATTCCAGGATTGCATTCACTGCCAGAATCACCTGACATTTGTGGTACCGTCTTACGGTTATCAAAAATGTTACCGGTTGTCTCGTCTCACACTTCCATAGACAGTTTTTTCCCTCGTTTTATTTACATCTATAAATAAATACATACCGGGGGGAATCCTCCGTACAGTTGTTGACGTCACTAAATTTCTCTTATCAGCTAATAATCAGTGGAGGTCTTTTTTTTTTGTTTTTGTTGTTATTTTGAGAACGGAAACGTTTTTATTAGTAGTGTTACTTTCAACACTTACAGCATCAGGTTTACTTCGTTCGAAATGATAATTAAAATTTAATTTGTTCTATTTCTAAAATGAAGGGATCGCTGCAAAATGCTGCTTTGACAACAGTACAGAATTGGTGCAACATGTGTATTTGAAGAGATTGTTGAGACTTGCACCATAAACTCGTTGTTTACGAGCGTTAAAATTTCCCGCAAATGAATTTCGGGCTTTTAAATTGCACTTTTTTGAACGCGTTTCAGAAGTTTAATTCCTGTCTCTTCTTTTTTTCTTCTTTCTTTTTCGAAGATTATCTAAAACGAACTATTGGAACTGAATAAGAGACACTGGTGACGATAAATGCAATAATTTCCTTCTTTTTGAGAAGGTAAATTGTGACGAATATTTTTGCGCATGTAAAAGTCTATATTATACGCCAGAAAGTTAGGCAAAGTGAACTACAGCGTTCTGTTTTGAATAGTTAAATATATGGTTTTATTTCTGCACGTATTTTTAAGTATTTACGAATATCTTTTTGTTTTTACTTGTGTTTATTTATTTTTTCGTATCACTCTTAATTTGCTACAATTTATTGATTCTGGTATCATTCAATAACAAACCCAACATCAACTTTTGCTACGGTTTTAATGTATTTGTAGTTGTTGTTTCCTTTTGGACATTTATATCATTTGAATTGGAAATTTTGCATTTGATTTCTAATGCATTGCAAAAGATTCTCTGTTGCGACATTACTAACGTCTTTGGAAATCTTTTGGTTTTTTATTGGTAATTGATTTCTGGTGCAGTTTATTAATAAGTGTGCAGAATTAATGGCTCTAAACGAGGAGTGTACTATTGCGCGTTTTTATATACTAGATTTATTATACACTGGGTTTTACGTATATTGCATTTTTAGAGGAAGTACAGGTACCGTTTGTACTTCTTTTTTTTTTTTTCACTTGTTATGGGAATATTTAGCTAAGAATTAACTTGCTCATTTGATTTTAAGGCATAAATTGGCGTTGCTTTAGCGTGCTCAGTTATTTCCTGGTTTTTGTTTATGTTTTTCATTCATTCAGAAAGGTTTTAGGGGTAGGGGCGAAGTAAAGGTCGGACAGTTTCTTTTCATTGGGATGTGAAGTTTCAATTGTTCGTAGTTTGATTTAGAATGTTACAAAACCATAAGAGTGAAACTGCAGCAGAAACCGCAGTTGTCTCAGTTACTGCTAACGTGGCTGGGAAACTGAAACAGGTTATAAAAAATTTCTTTCCTGTTTTTTCGTTCTTATCACTTTTTCCGCTAAATTTTTGAAGACTCGTAACATTTTAGGACGATGAGTGGTTAAAGTGGCTAGAAGAGAATGTGGAAAAAAGTCGAGAACTGAGAGATCAGATTGTAACAAGGCTTGACAGCTTTGAAAACTGCTTGAAAATGCTGGAGGAACGTATAGTGCCTTTGCATAACAAAACTGCGATTTTTCAAAAAAGACAAACAAGTTCGTCTTTTGCAGATAGGTCTATTTTCTCAGTAACGCAGTACACATTTTGAAACATTTCATTTTGTAGATCTCTCGAAAGTTATAAAGACTATTGATGCCATGCAGCAGTTTTATGGTCAGGCGACGGAACTGGAAAGTGCTATACGCGAAGGAAGCGCATCACTCGATAGGGAAAACTACATTGAAAAAATGGATCAGCTGGCAGATGCTATAACATTCTTTTCTTCTCATCCCACATATCAGAATCAGCTCGAAAGCATGGTAAGCTGTTCAATCATTTCTGAGATCAGCTTTTTGATCGGAATTTCCTAAAAAATCCATGTCTATGAAAATTGTTTAGGTAGACGGTATGCCTCATAATTAACCCTTTTTTTTTCGTTGTTCTTGGATTTGATTGTTGCAGAAGTTGACTTTTGAATCTGGTTGTGTTACATTGGAGAAGGAATTTCGTAACGTCGTACAGTCGAATTCGATCGTAGCCGACGCTGCACATGTCATTGAGTGTTTAGACCAAGACTTTGGTAAACATAAAGTTAACAGTTTATAAAGAGTTTTGAGCCCAATTTTTCAAAAAATCTCGAGTTTAGAAATTTAGAGGTGATTCCGGCCAGGTTAAAAGAAGTAGTGTCATTACGAGATGGGTCAGAAATTGTACAGTTAGCACGATGGCTTCTTTCGCGAAATCCAAATGGAAGCTTGGTACAGAATTATGCGTCAATTCGTGGTGACAATATGTTACGAACGTTGTCAAACGTTCTTCAGTACTCTGGAGGAACGAAGCAAAGTCTAACACCGGTAGCTAAGCCGTCACCTATTTCGCTCAAACAGTAAGTCATCTGCTTTACCGCTTTGTCTCGATTTATGTAGCACTGGAGAACTTGAAAAAGTTTGGGTATTGATCGAGAACATTTTATAGGGCCTTGAAACGAGCCACTGGTCGAAGTTCGGACCGGTTTGGTTAGACAGTATTTCGCATTTTCATTTTTTTCTTTAAGTTATCATGCTTTTGTTTAATTTGCGTAAGCTCGACGTTTTATAATGGTATTGAAATGACTCAATTTCTGATTTTTACTACCTTTAAGGGTACTTGGGCTGGTTCTGGTTTAAAAATTCTGGCGTTTAGGGGCCGTTAAAGATTGGCGTACTTCAGATGAAACTGTTAGCGGTATCTTGTTAGCCTTTGGTTCTCTTCTGGCTCTCATCCAAGTAACAACTCCTTTTTTTATACAAGAAATTGTTAAGGGGCATTCATAGTCCCTTCACCTCTTGATCTCACCAAAGGGCTTAAGACGCACTTTGCGTACAGTGCGACAAGGTTTATTCAGTCCAAATAATGATTTTTTTCGGCTGCAGTGTTTAAAACTTTGGTCTTTGAGGTTGAGGTAGAAGTTATGGGCATTACTATCAATGATCTGACGACAGAAGCTCGGATACAGCGTGTAATGTTTGCACAGCCTCTGCGTAGTGTCATTGAACGCTCCTCGAAGATCTTTGACGGGCTGGACTGTTCCCTTGTGCCTTTGCTGCCCTTATTGAAGCATATCAGTACGCATTACAATCAGCTGGCATCTCTTTCTAACGTATCGCTTCGCATATTGATGTTTTCAGTTTTTTTCGGTTTTTCTTGAAAGAAGTAGGATTTAGTTGATTTATTCTTTTCCCTAGTCTCTTGCGTTTTATTGGTTTACGTTATTTTAAAGTCATTTTGCGACTTTCAGAATGTAATGGGTGATGATTCTTACGAGGAATTCGTTCGAAAG